ATGGATTAAAAAAACAAATCCAACAATATGCTGTCTCCAGGAGACACATCTGATTGGAAAAGACATACACAGGCTGAAGGTGAAAGGTTGGGAAAAATCATACCACGCACACGGCCCTCAGAAGCAAGCAGGGGTGGCCATCCTCATATCGAATAAAATCAACTTCAAGACTAAGTTACTCAAAAGGGATAAGGAAGGACATTATATACTGTTAATTGATTATCAATATTTATGCACCAAATAATGGTGCTGCGACGTTCATAAAACAAACTCTCCTCAAGTTCAAGAATCAAATAGATCACAACACAATAATTATGGGTGACTTCAACACACCTCTCTCACCATTGGACAGATCCTCCAAACAAAAGTTGAAGAAAGAAACTATAGAACTCAATATCACAATCAACCTAGACTTAACTGACATATATAGAATATATCAACCATCATCAATTGGATATACTTTTTTCTCAGCAGCACATGGATCCTTCTCAAAAATAAACCATATATTATGCCATAGGGCAACCCTTAGTAAATATAAAGGTGTGGAGATAATACCATGCATTTTATCTGATCATAATAGAATGAAACTGGAAATCAATGATAAAAGAAGGAAGGAAAAATCCTACATCACTTGGAAAATGAACAATATGTTACTGAATGATCAATGGGTTACAGAAGACATAAAGAAGGAAATCAGAAAATATAGACACAACATATCGGAATCTATGGGATACAATGAAAGCAGTTTTAAGAGGGAAATTCATTGCCTGGAGGTCATTCCTCAAAAAAATAAAAAAGCAACAAATAAATGAGCTCACACTTCATCTCAAAGCCCTAGAAAAGGAACAGCAAAACAATAGCAAATGTAGCAGAAGGCAAGAAATAATTAAAATCAGAGCGGAAATCAATGAAATTGAAACAAAAGAAACTATTGAAAAATTGACAAAACTAAAAGTTGGTTCTTCGAAAAAATAAATAAGATCGACAGACCCTTAGCCATGCTAACGAAGAGAAGAAGAGAGAGAACTCAAATTACTAACATACGGGATGAAAACGGCAATATCACAGCAGATGTTACAGAAATACAGAAGACAATTAGAAATTATTTTGAAAACCTATATTCCAATAAAATAGAAGATAGTGAAGACATCGATAAATTTCTTAAGTCATATGAATTAACCAGATTGAGTCAGGAGGATACACACAATTTGAACAGACCAATATCAATGGATGAAATAGAAGAAGCAATCAAAAGACTACCAACCAAGAAAAGCCCAGGACCAGATGGGTATACAGCGGAGTTTTACAAAACCTTTAAAGAAGAATTAATACCAATACTTTTCAAGTTATTTCAGGAAATAGAAAAAGAGGGAGCTCTTCCAAATTCATTCTATGAGGCCAACATCACCGTGATTCCGAAACCAGACAAAGACACCTCAAAGAAAGAAAACTACAGACCAATATCTCTAATGAACCTAGATGCAAAAATCCTCAATAAAATTCTGGCGAATCGGATACAAGAACACATCAAAAAAATTGTGCACCATGATTAAGTAGGATTCATCCCTGGGATGCAAGGATAGTTCAATATACGGAAATCAATAAATGTTATTCACCACATCAATAGACTTAAAGATAAGAACCATATGATCATCTCGATAGATGCAGAAAAAGCATTCAACAAAGTACAGCATCCCTTTATGTTCAAAACATTAGAAAAACTAGGGATAACAGGAACTTACCTCAACATTGTAAAAGCTATCTATGCTAAGCCTCAGGCTAGCATCATTCTGAATGGAGAAAAATTGAAGGCATTCCCTCTAAAATCTGGAACAAGACAAGGATGCCCTCTATCACCACTTCTATTCAATATAGTCCTCGAAACACTGGCCAGAGCAATTAGACAGACGAAAGAAATTAAAGGCATAAAAATAGGAAAAGAAGAACTTAAATTATCACTATTTGTGGATGACATGATCTTATACCTAGCAGACCCAAAAGGGTCTACAAAAAAACTACTAGAACTAATAAATGAATTCAGCAAAGTGGCAGGATATAAAATCAACACGCATAAATCAAAGGCATTTCTGTATATCAGCGACAAAACTTCTGAAACGGAAATGAGGGAAAACACTCCATTCACAATATCCTCAAAAAAAATAAAATATTTGGGAATCAACCTAACAAAAGAGGTGAAAGATTTATGCAATGAAAACTACAGAACCCTAAAGAGAGAAGAAGAAGAAGATCTTAGAAGATGGAAAAATATACCCTGTTCATGGCTAGGCAGAACTAACATCATCAAAATGGCGATATTAACAAAAGTTCTCTATAGGTTTAATGCAATGCCAATCAAAATCCCAACGGCATTTCTTGTAGAAACAGATAAAGCAATCATGAAATTAATTTGGAAAAATAAAAGACCGAGAATAGCAAAAGCAATTCTAGGCAGGAAGTGTGAATCAGGCGGTATAGCGATACCAGATTTCAAACTATATTACAGAGCGATAGTAACAAAAACAGCATGGTACTGGTACCAAAACAGGTGGGTGGACCAATGGTACAGAACAGAGGACACAGAGACTAATCCACAAACTTACAACTATCTTATATTTGATAAAGGGGCTAAAAGCATGCAATGGAGGAAGGATAGCATCTTCAACAAATGGTGTTGGGAAAACTAGAAATCCATATGCAACAAAATGAAACTGAATCTCCTCCTCTCGCCATGCACAAAAGTTAACTCAAAATGGATCAAGGAGCCTGATATCAAATCAGAGACACGCCGTCTGATAGAAGAAAAAGTTGGCTCCGATCTACATATTGTGGGGTCGGGCTCCAAATTCCTTAATAGGACACCCATAGCACAAGAGTTAATAACAAGAATCAACAAATGGGACTTACTTAAACTAAAAAGTTTTTTCTCAGCAAGAGAAACAATAAGAGAGGTAAATAGGGAGCCTACACCCTGGGAACAAATCTTTACTCCTCACACTTCAGATAGAGCCCTAATATCCAGAGTATACAAAGAACTCAAAAAATTAGACAATAAGTTAACAAATAACTCAATCAGAAAATGGGCCAAGGACCTGAACAGACACTTCTCAGAGGAGGACATACAATCAATCAACAAGTTCATGAAAAAATGCTCACCATCTCTAGCAGTCAGAGAAATGCAAATCAAAACCACCCTAAGATACCATCTCATTCCAGTAAGATTGGCAGCCATTCTGAAGTCAAACAACAACAAGTGCTAGCGAGGATGTGGGGAAAAGGGTACTCTTGTACATTGCTGGTGGGACTGCAAATTGGTACGGCCAATTTGGAAAGCAGTATGGAGTTTCCTGGGAAAGCTGGGAATGGAGCCACCATTTGACCCAGCTATTGCCCTTCTCGGACTATTCCCTGAAGACCTTAAAAGAGCGTACTACAGGGATACTGCCACATCGATGTTCATAGCGGCACAATTCACAATAGCTAGACTGTGGAACCAACCCAGATGCCCTTCAATAGATGAATGGATAAAAAAAAATGTGGCATTTATACACCATAGAGTATTACGCAGCACTAAAAAATGACAAAATCATGGAATTTGCAGGGAAATGGATGGCGCTAGAGCAGATTATGCTAAGTGAAGCTAGCCAATCCCTAAAAAACAAATGCCAAATGTCTTCTTTGATATAATGAGAGCAACTAAGAACAGAGCACGGAGGAAGAGCAGGAGGAAAAGATTAACATTAAACAGAGACATGAGGTGGGAGGGAAAAGGAGAGAAAAGTGATATTCCATGGAAATGGAAGGAGACCCTCATTGTTATGCAAAATTACATATAAGAGGTTGTGAGGGGAATGGGAAAATAAACAAGGGAGAGAAATGAATTACAGTAGATGGGGTAGAGAGAGAGAATGGGAGGGGAGGGGAGGGGGGATAGTAGAGGATAGGAAAGGTAGCAGAATACAACAGTCACTAATATGGCATTATGTAAAAATGTGGATGTGTAACCGATGTGATTCTGCAATCTGTATTTGGGGTAAAATGGGAGTTCATAACCCACTTGAATCTAATGTATGAAATATGATATGTCAAGAGCTTTGTAATGTTTTGAACAACCAATTAAAAAATAAATAAATAAAGATAAAAATAAAGCAGGATTTAACCAAAGATTTTTATCAAAAGGATTAGAATTTGTGGTATTTCAATTTTCTGAGAGGAGGCAGCATATAGAGAAGTAGTTTCTAAGTGTATAAACCCTAGACCCAGTTTGGGATTAAATACTGGCTCTACTACTTCCTAGCTTGTTATTTAAGCTTCCTCTACCTTGGTTTTCTCATCTTTAAAATGGGAACATAATAGTACCTATGTCACAGGGTTGTAATTAGAGCATAAAAAGAACCTGGAATATAATTTAGTTATTAAACATTTTCAGTTGTATACATTTGTACCATATGTTAACTATCAGCATATCCTTTTAATATGTAATCATTCTACAAATAAGTATGTTTTACTTTAGGAATCAAAACCCAATTCAAATATGGGAAAATTAACTAAGAAAAGGTTAGCAATGAATAACAGGTATATCTTCAAATATGGGAAAAGATGCCCAAAGGTAAAAATATATTATTTCAATGTGAGCTTCTTTTCATTCCTCTTCTAAGACATGGCCACTCTATAACTACCAAAGCTTGAGTTGAACAAATGTCTACTTTAGTCAGAAATACAAATAAAAAAGACTCCCAAATAAACTACCTCTAATCCACTGACTGTTCAATTTATATTATGAAAAGGCCACTAGTTAAAAAAGATTTATAGGGCCTTCTCATTTCAAAGCAATAGAACAAAATCCTGGTACAGCTAAGTCTTTATCTATCCCTTGCATTCTGTTGATATCAGCATTCTTTGTTACTAAGATTTATAGCTTTTACTGATGAAAACACAACTGTGGAAATAAGAAGGAAAAATAGGTCCAAATTACACAAAATTAAAAAAGCTTTAAGTCTTACCACATCGCCAATGTGAATCTTGAGATGGTTCAAGTGTTTGCCCTTTATGGGTATGACTTGATTTTGAAACACATTTGACTTTTCCAGGTTGATTTATCAGAAAATTATGCCCATGGTGATACTCTCTACAACAGAAATTACACAATAACTATTATCCCTAATATCTCATATAAGTGACAAATTTTAATATCTCAAAAATCCCAAATTATAGCCCAGATGAATATATGCACTTGACACTCCTTTTTTTTTTTTGTATCTCAGTGTTATTTTAAGATTAAAAAAAATTCGTCGTAGATGGACACAATACCTTAATTTTTATGTGGTGCTGAGGATTGAATCAAATGCCTCACACTTGCTACGCAAGCACTCTACCACTGAGCTACAACCCCAGACCCTCAGGATTACATCATGACTCTCAAGAAATTATTTGTTTTATGTCATACCTCAAACCTTGTTCATTTGTTTCAAAGAGATTATTTTTAGTTCTCTCTCTACCCATTTTAAATTCTCCATATATTTACCAGTTACTTAGTATTTGATCCCCTACTTTATTCTAAAAAAGACACAAGGGGAATATTTGGCATTTTATTTATTTATTTATTTATTTTAATTTTTTATTGTGGGTTGTTCAAAACATTACAAATTTCTTGACATATCATATTCCACACTTTGATTCAAGTGGGTTATGAACTCCCACCTTCACCCCATACACAGATTGCAGAATCACATCAGTTACACATCCATTGATTTACAAATTGCCATACTAGTGTCTATTGTGCTCCGCTGCCTTTCCCATCTATTTGGCATTTTAAATAAACTCCAAAATACAAATGCAAATGATCTGATTATGTTTGGGTCTGTGTTGGTAGCACTTTCTGTAGGCTCTTATTAATGTTCATGATTCTAATTACATAATTGTCAAAGGTGGTATCTTTTTACTACCAGATGATTTATTGCTATAAGTAACTAAACAAGAAAGAGAAGAGATAGGCTGTTGTTTCAGTCAAGACAGTTGGCATTCTCTCTCCAAGGTCTGCCAGATGTGTCTACTCAAAGCCTTAACAATTCTTTCTGAACAGTATAAACATGAGACCCAGCATACCTGGGTAACAACTGGGCCAATTATACACTGATTAAAATAGCACATAATGAGGGCACCCAACCAGGCAGGATGCCCTGAACTGACAGAAGTAACATGTATTCATAGGATGTGTTGAATACAAAACCTTAAAAAAATTTTCTTTTACATTAATACTAACACAGAACACTTTTAAACATTCTTCAAGAATAGGTGCACAAAGAATTACCTCTTTATTTCCGAATTCCCAGCACCTAGGACTGTTTTGAGAAAAGCCGGGAGGCTGAGCACCTCCCCTTCCCAATGATGTCACTTTCTTTGCCAGAGCAGCAAGGTCTAGCTGGAGAAGAGAACCAACAGGGCTCCAGGGGGTGGTTAAAAGTCACCAGGCAGCTGCTGCGCAAAGCAGCAGGGGATGGACGCTGCCCTGGCAGGGTGGGAAGGGAACAGCAACTTTGGTTGGACCCAGGGATCCATGGATTTGACCCCAATGTGCCCTGGTGGTCCTGTGGGATTGTCCTAGGCACTGGATGGTCCAGACCATCCCTGAGGAAGAGTGGTGGAGCCAGGGCTGGGCCTCCAAGCCTGGGGTCTAAAGGAAGTAACCTCACCCAGCATGGTAACACAGGGTCATTCCACTGCCTTCCAATCAGATGTACAGAAACCAACACTGACAGAGACGGGTCCTGGGAGAGCCTAGTGAGTTCACAAGGAAAGGTCAAGCCAAGCCAAAGGGTAGCACACAACACTAGGGCAAACCAGCTGCTGGCAAGATGCCTAGGGTTTGCCAGTTCATCTAGTTTTAGTGCAAACTGCTGAGACTCAGTTTTCTTCTGCTGGAGCAGGCTTTCCAACAACTTCCTCTGCACCCCCATTCCCAGCATCCTTTCCAGGACTGGAGTGCTGAGGGCCACTGGGCCCCTGGGCCCCTGGCAAAGCTGACAGGACCATTCTGCACAGCCTCATACTCCACAGGACCCCACCCAGATAGCTGGCAGGGGCCATCTCTTCTTCCCTGACCTCTTGCACGGGGATGTTAACCTCCTTGGAGGCCCCATCTTCCTGCTGCCTACCCAGCACACAATTTCCCACATCTCTGTCTTTGGAGAACTGGTCTTCTAAATTCTCATTTTCTTCTGCTAGTCATTTGTCTCTGACACTGTGTTTACCTTTGGGTTTCCTCAGTTGTGCATGTCTTCTTAGGAGAATTGCCACTGAAACTTTTAATTCCTTCTTGATTTTCTGAAGTAGATACAGTCTCTGAAGTAAGACAGTCGGCTTGGTGGATACGCTCCCTTCCCTGGTAGTCTTGACAATGTGAGTTGGTAGCACACAGGTGAGCTGCCAGCCTTGGGATGCCCGTGAGTTCAGCAGAGTCATGCAGTCAGTCTGAATCTCCATGCCTTCAGGGCCATCCATTGTTTAACAATAGCATCATAGCCCTGTCTGCTTTTGCTAACTTCTGTACAAACAGCTTCAAAGATGAATACTACATCAGTCAAGCTGTGTAAGGAATCATCCGCCATTCCAAGGTGGAAGAGTGAATTCACCAGGACTCCTTTCTGTAAGTGGCCACTCATGTGCTCCAACCAGTTGGCATCCAAACTCCTCGCTATCTGGCCATTCTTGGAGACAGCAGAAAGGAATACTGATGGGACAGTATTGCCAGCACTTCTGATAGCTCTTCAGTTTGTTGAAAGGGCAAAAATCTCCATTTTCCTACAGAGGAGCCTTGTATGTGTGTCCATCCACTGTTGGGCTCATCCCCTATGGGGAAAATCCTCCACCCTCTCCAGAGGATAAGCTGGGCTCCTTGGTGAAAGGCAGCTCCCCTGTGTGGCCTGGGCTGGGCTCTGGGCTCCCATCCACCCCTGTGGGAGCAACACACACGTCTGCAGACCCTGGCTTCTCATCCTCAGTGATGCATGGTCTCCACATACCTTTATCACTGCTCTGGCATCTGTGGCGCCATTGGCAGTGGACGCAAGAGGGCTGCTGCCTGCTGAGTTCACAGGGGAGTGATACTGAGGAATGACACAACAAACTCCAGGCCCCGACTTGCAGCCTCCTGGACCTTCATAATAAACTCTGGGATGATATTTTATCTGTCAGATGGTCTAAGGAGGAACAGCAATCTAATTTGAAGATGTAACCTTCATTGTGAAGATGAGTCTTCTGAGATCTGTCAGTTTTCTTGACTGAGATTGGCCCTAAATATGTGCTGGAGGGGAATCTTTTCCTGCCTGTGAACGGGCTGCCCAAGGGGTGCAGGGTGGCCAGGGAGAACCCCTGCTGGTACAGCTCCAGGAGCTGGGCTGGCAGGTCCCTCAAGGAGGCCAGCCTCACTGCTGAGGACCATGGGAGCTCCACAACATCCAGAGTTGTGAACTACAGGAGGCAGTACTCATAGGCCACATCCACCTTGTTTTCTACCTGAGGCCTCTTCAAAGTTGAATAAATATTCCCAGGCCATTCCTCGTAGCACTTCCCTAACTTGTTCAATCCACAGCCCATTTCAGCAGATTTTGCAACTGGCGGTGGAGAAGGCGCAGGCTGGGTTCCCTGAGAACGGTGTGTTGTGCCCTGGGAGGAAGGGGGGGGCGGGGGGGAAGAGGGGGGTGGCACTGCCTGCTCACGTATCAGTCCCTCAGGTGATTGGTGTATGTGTCCCTCCCCAAAGCCTAAGGCATACGTGCTCCCGCTCAGTAAAGGTGGTAATTTTTAACAACACAGTGCTGCCAATTCATGTCCACCACATGGATTACCAACAGATATAACTTTGCATGTTTGTTAGCCATATACGAGAAATTTTACACTTGGGTACATTAGCACTTTCAATTAATTTCTGCTTAACGACTTCTACCCAAACCTACTGTCTGTGATTAAGGTGAAATACACAACAGTAACTACAATCAGATGAACATAACTTGGAAGGGCAGAGAGGGCAGCAGGAGAAGAAGTAGCAAGCTGATGGGAGCTGGCTGTTCCTGCCAGAGTGAAGATGACAGGTAGAGAAACAGGGAGATAGCAATTAGGAGTCAAATTAGAGAAACAAATCTTAACAGAAACTAAAAAAAAGAAGACAGTACTGGACAGATATGAAATGTCACACTTCAGGTATACTGAAGTGCTTTGTTACAGCTTAGTTAGAAAGAGAATGCCATTTTTGCCTTTTTCCTTGTGATTCTATACATTTATAAAGACCTCATAAATAAGGAACTATTTTGTTCTTTATCATCATAATTCTAAGCAGGGTAGATGCAAATACACTGAGCTTCAATCACAAAAGTGATACTTTTTTTTTTTTTTTAACTAGGTCCAATGTTATTTTTCCAAATAATATGGTGAATTGTGTCTTACCTCCTTGGAGAAGGGCAGCACTGGTGTCCAGAATGCCAAGCAGTGCTGGGTTTGTTAGGAGATGGTTTCTGTGCAGTTACTGGCAGTTGTACTGATTCTGATAACAGTTCATTCATCAGACTGTATGCTTGTGTGATTCGCCGACTATAGTGGTCAGAGAGCAGCAACCTTTTAGATAAAGAATTAAACACCATTTATTTAAAAAGTCACTTTTAGTTCTTATTTTCAGAGGGAACACAGTACTTTTGTTTTAGTACTTTTCAAATCCTTCTAATCGTCAGATTTCTGAAAACCATTAGGAAGTAGAGTATATTATTAAAGACATTTGTAGTTATGCTCTTGAGGGTATTTCCCAAATACACATACATATCTGGTTGGGAGAGAGAGTACAACAGAAATGAAAGTCATAAAAACTGTATGGTGCCAATAATATTTGAAAGCAAATTTCTAAAAAGGGTGCTGAGTCTAATTATTTTCTTACCAATGATATCTCCCACAATTTTCTGTTTATTGACAAGAAGACAATTATGAAAATAAATTTCTAAGGACTATCTACCAGAAAATGCTCAGGATATAGCTTCCAAGCTTACCTATCTTTCTCATGCTTCATCTTTTGTCTCAGCCTGATTTCCTTTGAAGTCATGTAAAACTGCATAAGAAATATTCAGTTAATTCATTATTGTTCAGCCAAAAAAACCATTAGACATAATTCTACTATTTAGAAAATAGTACAAAATGCGGCAATATTTGATAAAACTTTCTATCCTAAAGCAAAACATAAAAATGTTAAATTAAAATATCATATAATTAAATGGAATGCAAAATGTATTTTACTAGTTATATTTTTTCGACAGAGGACATCCTACAGCTGCATAGGGATATAGACACTTTAACTTCATCTTCAGTCTGGTGATTAATTTCCCCAGTAGCTTGGTTGAAAAAGCAGAAAGAGACACTCATTTAAAATCATTTTAAAATTGTCAAATATTTATCAAAAGCCTACTGTAATGAGTTTGCTATAATTTATAAATTTTTCAAAATTATATGTCAGAAGGCAAACTGAGACAAATGTCAAATATATATATATATATGATTCCAGAACATGAAGAATTATTATTGTAAGACTAGGATGGAGCTCAGTGGGAGAGTGCTTGCTTTAACATGTGCAAGGTCCAAGGTTCGATCCCTAGAATGGAATAAGAATAAGAGGAAGAGGAAAAAGAAGAGAAAAATAAGACAGGTAAGTAAAATACATTCTTTAAATAATAGTTCACCTACTTTTACATCATATGGAGTTTAAATGGGGCAACCTTATCTGGAAAATAAACTTACATCATTTGTTAATAATGCTTTAAAAATGAAGTGTTATCATGTTTTATTTCAAATAGCAAAGTAAGGGATAAACTGTAATCTAACTATAAGCTAAATGTGATTTTCACAGTAATGTGGTTATCAAACACTACTTTTTTTTGCTTGGTAGCAGGGATTGAGCCCAATGGCACTTAACCACTGAGCCACATCCCCAGCCCTTTTTAATATTTTATTTAGAGACAGCGTCTCACTGAGTTGCTTAGGGTTGCGCTAAATTGCTTTGAACTTGTGGTTCTCCTGTTTCAGCCTCCCAAGCTTCTGGGATCAAACACTACTTTGTTTTACCTTCTTAAGAAAAACTATTCCTGACCTGAACATGGGGATGCCCGTATTTCAGGGCTCAGTAAATAAATGCTAACAGTTTAAAGGCATTTAAAACACACACACACAGATGACTGCTCTGCTGGTACATGATTAGATCATAATTTTATTCTTTGCAGAAAACAAGTTTAAAAATGGCTTTAACACACATATATCCATTATTTAACTGCTACTCACTCTCAATGAAAAAGATACACAATCACTCAACCTCCTCATTTGTTTAAAATATTAAAGTCATAATTAACTTGAGGGAAAAAGAATACTTAATATAGATCAACAGAATATAGTTTGCACAATATCGTGCTATACTTTGCTAATGTAATTTCTCAACTTTTCCTGGCATAAGTAAAATGTTGACTTTTTACCCGCCCAATAAAAAAAAGAATCTTAATTATGCTAATTTTTTTTGAATATTTGCCAGAAAAAAATATAGATGTTGTATAATAATTCCATTACCCTTGATACTGCAGACTTACTGGATTGCTTCTGGCACAGAAGGGATCATGTTCTTGCCCTCTCTTTTCTGCCAGCTGATTTAAGTACTCTGCCATTCTTTCTTTTCGTTTTCTTTTCATCCAGGCTCGAATCTCTCTTCTCTCCTTCTCAGTTCTTTGTGGACATCTGCCAGAAGAATGCTGAATCCTGTGAAATTTAATGAGCAAGGCATCATTGGCTTTTAAATTGGTTGTGTAGGTAAGAACTACCACAACTTAATAGTAGTATTTGCTTGAAAAGACATTGCCCTGTCTTGAAAGTAATGTACACTTATGGTCTCTAATCAACTTGTTCCAGTCTCATTCCCACAACTCCAGAGAAAATGGTCTCAGAAAGTTCACCAACTATTCTCTGTAACACTTGCTTTAAATGTTATATTTAAACAGCTTTTCCCTCTTTAAACTGTCTTACCTGGGTCTTTTCTTACTCAAAACACTACATAGCCTCCTTTCATCTCTGCTCACCACTTCAATATTGATGCCTTAAAGGTTCTGTTTTGGACTTCCTTATCTACCATTCAGTTCCTGGACCATCTCAACCACTTCTTTTTTTTTTTTTTGTACTTTCTAATTTTTTTTCATTTGTTCTTTTTAGTTATACATGGCAGTAGAATGAACTCTGGCAAATCAACCACTTCTAAAACCTACACACACAGGTAAGTTCCAAGCTGCTGCTCTTTTGGATCTAATCCCATCTTCAGGTCCACGCCACACGTCTCACAATCTGGCTGAGTTAATGACTAAGTATGGCAGGAATGTACTGGCTGGTTCATTTCTGAAATATGGGTGACTCCATGGGTGACATGGCTTGAGGCCCTAACACTGATCTAGCTGAAATATTCTTAAAATGGTGCTGGCATTCTGAAACCCTATCTCCCTGATTCTCTTTCCTTCCATCTTTCCTCACAAACATCTCCCAAAACAAATCTCTTATACATCAATCCCATCTTGGCTTCTGCTTCTTGGAGGATCTGAACTAACATAAGTTGCACTTTGGGTGGTCTGAGAAAACAGGGGATAGATGGTAGTGTGTGAAAAAGACACCATACTAGATGGAAGCTGGGTCACAGATACAGACATTGTGGTTTATTCTGAACACTTGCTTAACGAGTTTGGCTCTTGGGATGTGCCAGGAAGGATTCCCAATAAAATCCTAGGCACTGAGTCTAATCAATTGCTAGTAGACATCATCTCACATGTGTTGTCACAACCTGTTGCTTGAGGAATTATGTTATGTCCTTTGTGACTCCACTGGGAGAGGATTATGGGAAGCCTGTGCTTGGTTTCCCCTGGAATTTACCTAATGTGCCTTTTCCCTTTGCTGACTTTCCTTTCAACCTTCTTGTTGAAAATTCATATTTTATATTTCATATTTATGGCCACAAATATGACTAAACACTGTGAGCTCTCCTAACAAAATGCTGACCCTAAGGGTGGTCTTAGGAACCCTCAACTTCAGAGCAGATCTGCATCTGCACTGCAGTCTGACAGCTGGTCCCCACATTTCATGGCTCCCTTTTCTTTTCCTTCACAGGCATTTTCCAAACAAAGCTCTTCCTTATCTAAATCCCACCTTGGCATCCGTCAGAGGACTTACAGTTAATATTAGCGAATGAATGTTATCCTGGAACTTTACATCTAAAACTACATTTTCCAATTTGCTAAAGAAATTATCATCAGTCATGTAAGAAAACCTATCATCCTTACCTCCTGACAGCCTCCAGTGTTTATTTACCCTGTGACTTACACTCTCCGTTTTGATTCACCTCATCTCTGGACTCTGGAAGTAAGTCATCCATCTGGCTCCCAGGTCTAGCTGATGATAACCTGCTGCTGAGCTCTGCTGCCAATAGTCAAGCCAGCTTAGTGCTTCTGTCCCCACACAAGGTACTCCCACACCCTTCCAATGAACAAACTCTAGCTACATCTGAGTCCTTGCCCTTTGCTGACCATCATATCTTTGCATATTGTCTGTCTGTAATATCCTGTCTTACAGTTACCAGTCATTAGCAGAATACAATTTCTATTAATCCTGAGATACGAATCAAATTCCGAAATTGTGACTCTGCTTTTTGACTGACCTTTTTTCCCTGAGCTCCCATAGCACACTGACAGAACTTGATCCTACATTTACATCCTTTCAAGAGTAGAAACCAAATATTATTTTTATATAATTTTAGAAAAAAAAAGAACTATTAGAGTTAACTAAATTCATTAGTTTAGGAAGTTAGGGTCTAACATGGTCTTGATATAAGGTAATAATATAGTAGATAAATTATATAAACAAAAACAATCTTTTTTTCTAAATAATTTTAAGTTATAGATGGATAGAATACCTTTATTTATTTATCTTTATGTGGTGCTGAGAATGGAACCCAGGGCCTCACACATGCTAGGTGAGCACTCTACCACTGAGCCACAACCCCAGCCCTTCTTTCTTTTTTTTTTTTTTTTTTTATTTATTGTACTGTTTTCTTTTAATAGTCTTGGAAGTTTGATGATAACACACTGTACTTTCACTGAAGTAATAAGTGGAATTATATCTAAAACAGATAAGGTTGACTGTTTTCTATGAAGCAACTAAGGGGTATAAAGGAAAATAAAGGTGAGCGAGCCTTTATTCCATCCAGGAAGAGTTGCATGGAAAAGTATTTTAACCTAATGTTCTGTAGAAAGGCTACTGCAAAAGTAACCTAAGGGTTAGTATTCTGGATAAAATGCCATGAAGTAAACCATTAATTACTTTTAATAAGAAACAACATTCATTCTATGTTGTACTTACAGTGATTAGACCTGAGAAAAACTCTCCAGATATAGATGTGCTCTGTTAGTTAAGTACAAAGTACACTTTGGGGAACATGGAGGAATGGCATACATCACAAAAATTATTTAGGTAGAAAAACTCCTAAACTTCAAATTTGTTTAATAAAAATTACATTGAAATGTGGCAAACCATTTACATTCCTAAATCAGAAACATTTTGAATGGGTTAAAAAGTAATTCTTTAGCGGCTAAATGCCAGCTTAGCATGCCAGAACCCAGTGGTCCATTCGTAGCATCAAAATAACCACAAAAAGGACTCTTAGTGAGTCCAGATTACCTGGAGATACTCCTTGCTTGTTGTTCTGTTAAACCAAGCTCTTTACTGGAAACTCCGCCTCTAGTTATAAGATCATTGATAATGTCTGCAATGTCAGTCAATCCAGCCATCTGGAGTGGATCTACTGAAATACTTCAATTGCAAATGAAATTTGACAAACAGAAACATTTAAGCATTTACAAATTAATTACATTAGGAAAAAAAACAAATATAAAAAACTATACCATTCAAGAGCATAAATAGACACAAAATGATATGTGTACTTTTCCTTTTATTTCTATAATTCTGGTGTCTCCCACAAACACCAACTCATCAACAACTGATGACTTTGTAGGTACTCTTAAAAAAAAAAAAACTTTAGGCCCAGGAGGAAACCTCTATGGGTCTTGTCTGTTCAAATTTAATACATACTGAGTAAAAGAAAATGTAGCAAATGTAGCCTATTGTATTGTAATTACCTGTGTTGAAAAAGCAAGGGATGTAACAACATTTCTCAGTTTCTCAGAACATTCCATTCCCAATAGAAATTTATTATATTTCATTAAACTTCAAAAAGATGTATAATATATAAGTTCACATTCAAAGGACAACAAAATTTCCAGGACACATATTCATACTCAAATTTTAAGTAAAATAATGAACTACTTCTTAAAATATTTACCTTTCAAATAATTCATCACTGTTATTCACACCTAAAAAAAAGGAAACATTAATAAAAGTTACACATATTGGAAAATATCTAATTTAAACCCAGAAGATATTTACTTGGAAGAATAGGATCCAAAGAATGATTTTTAAGCCTTGCCCAATATAAACTAAGTATCTCTAATGCAAAACATTTAATCTATTTAACCTTCTACATGTTTAATCTGAAATATAATTAAGTTAATATAGGGAAAATGTTCTGACATCTCATCTCAAAAAAGTTTCCTTGTTAAGATTTTATTAGAGCTCTTCGCAATGGCACACACCTGTAATCCCAGTGGCTCAAGAGGCTGAGGCAAGATCGAGAGTTCAAAGCCAGCCTAGGAAATTTGCCAAGGCCCTAAACTACTCAGTGAGACCCTGTCTCTAAATAAAATTTAAAAAAGGGATAGGGATGTGGCTTTGTGGTTAAGTGCCTCTGGGTTCAATCCCTGGTTACCTGCCCCCTCCCACCCCCACATGCCCCAAAGGATTTTATTAGACTAAGAGTAACTAAACTTCTCCTCAAACTTAGGCATCCACATGGGTTTTTTTGTTTGTGTGTTTGTTGTTTTTTTTATGTGTGTATGGTGGGGTACTAGGGCCTGAACCCAAGGGTACTCTACCACTGAGCTTTATTTCCAGCCCTTTTTTATTTTTGAGACATGGTCTTCCTAAATTGTCCAGGCTGGTCTTGAACTTGTAATCTTCCTGCCTTAGCCTCCTCAGTCATGTTTGTTTGTTTTGGGGGTAGCTGTAGATGGACAGATGCCTTTATTTATTTTTATGTGGTGCTAAGGAATGAACCCAGTGCCTCACACACGCTAGGCAAGCACCCTGCCACTGAGTTACAGCCCCAGCCCATGAATCGTAATTTTAATATGAAAGAATTTTGCTTTCTTGAGCACATATTGTTCTATTTATTAATCTCCAATTCTTTTATCTTTGTTTTCAGGGTCTGGGCACTTGTGAGTTCTTAATAGTAATTCATTAAATTTAGCTAAGAGGGAAATACTTCCTATAAATGTAAAAGAAAAAAGTTCCATTAAAGAAACATTTCCCCCCGCTGTACTGGGGACTGAACCCAAGGGCACTCTACCACTGAGCCTCATCCCCTTCCTTTTTTATTTTTTCCTTTGACACAGGGTCTCACTGAGGTTGACCTCAAACCTTGCTATCTCTTGCCTTGGCCTCCGGAGTCACTGGGATTATAGACAGGCATCATCACACCTAGCCAAGAGATACTTTCTATCGGTGTTTGAGTGGCCTCTGCAGATCTACTCATGAAGAGAGCTTGAAGGATTCCCTCCACCAACTGGCTGGATGAGAAAAGTGAGATCTTAGTCAAGATGGTAACCTGTCAGGTTAAAGGCTGAAGTTTTAGTTAACAAACATAGGTAACAAGTTGCTCTTCCTTCCATTAGTAACCAGTGACCACAGGCTCTCAGCCACAGCAGCTACAAACTTGACAAACCTTGCCAAGCGGGGCAAGTTTAGTTCTTTGTAATCATTGCTGCAAAAAAAATTGCATTGCTGAAAAAGAGAATGCCCTTTTGCAGGACTCCAAAGCACTTTGGTAATGAGCACAACTTAACTGAACAGCCTCATGTTTAAAGATTAATTGTCTCACATCACAGAACTGAGGGCTGCTGATCCCTGACAAAGATCATCCTCAAATGAGTTAAGAAAAATCAGTTATTGTGAAAGAAAAAAAGTATACAAGGGCAAAAAAGTATTATATTCAAATGAATACCTTTAAAAGTAACTACATATGGGTATCCTATCCTTACTTCATTTTCAAACCATTTTTGGAATTATTCCTTTGGGACTGCCTTCAATCCCAAAGTGATTGATTGATTTTACTGGTGATTTACTAAACAAAATCAGCTTTATTCCTTGGTAATTGTAATTCTTTATTTTTGATTCCAAATGGAGATACTCAGACTGATAACTTACTTCACTTACCACAAAGTGCCTCTAAATATCTAATGGCTGTTACCAAAAATATTTGCTAGTAAAAATACTCAGAAGAACGTGCTAAGAAATGGAAGTTAGCTAGCTGCAAAAGAGGAAATCTATACTATTTTTTGATCAATAATGCCAGATGACAACTTTGGAGGAAATACCCATTAGGACATCTAAATTCTTTACTTTATTAAAAAATAATAATATGATTTCTTCCTAAGTTTATAACCATACATTTAATAATAGAGAAAAATATTTAATTTTTCCATCTTTATGTGGGTTGTATGGTAAATACTACGTCTTATTATTTATAGGACAAAATGTATTTTTTTGTTCTAAAAAAATAACACTTTTAATTTAATTACAACCTCCAAATGAAATGGAGCAAAAAGTGGCACTAAATCTTTCTAAGCCTCAATATCCTAAACTATAAAATGGGGAGAATATAAAATCTACTTCATAGGCTTAACTCAGCATCCAAGCATACAAAACAGCAGTGTCTGGCACATGATAAGAGGCCCCAGAAATGACAAACACTATTTTGTTCTCAGTTAAAACTCAAGTTCTGACAACTGGCAGTTTGAATTTCTCGACTTTTGTAAGAACAACAGTGATTCCAGTTGTTATATATTTAGCATGAATACATTCACAGAAGTATAATACACAGTTGAAGCATATCTTATGAAGTTCTTCATGTGAGTAGCACAAATTTTAACTTCCTTCTCCCGAAAATAAATATTACAAAATGACTTCACAAATCCTTCATGACTATATTCCCAGTATACAGTTCAGAAGCATAATAGAAAATAAAAGTGTGTACAAATGAAAAAAGTGAAGAACATTACCAGGTGAAGAAGTATTCTGGTCACTGGAAAGACTGACAGCTGAATCAGCAGAAAGGAACACACAAGTTTTCGGACTAGAATGATTTTCCATTACCGAAAATGCAGCTTCTGAAGTCTCATCTTTGTCACTTCTATCTTCTTCATCCATATGAGTCAGGAAATTCACTAGTCCAGAATATGTGTTACAATTAAAATGGTAGGAGGGAAAAAACACATGGAAAAAATATAATAATAACACTTCCAAAGGACAACACAAATATACTGGACATTTGCAATGTATTATTCAGATCACTTTCTACTGTATAATAATGAACTAATTTAATATGAAATCTAAAATGAGAATTTTCTCATATGAAGAATAATTACATTTAAGAAAGCACAGAAACCACAATAAAGGAAAAGATAGATTCAAAAAAGAAATAGAAATTATAGATATTAAAAATGAAGCGACAAGAATTAAAATCATAATGAATAGGTGAAAAAGCAATGATGACACAGCAGAGGAGAGAATTAGCAAACTAGAGGAAATCACCATGAGATGAAGAGGCAGAAATCATGAGAGTGCTTTAAAAAATAGGAAGAGAATGAGAAGGTCCAACATACCTCTATCTGTTTATTAGTGTATTATAATTATGCATAATAGTGGGATTCACTTTGTCATAATCATACATGTACATAACATAATTTGGTCAATCTTTTAACCTAATCCCTCCTCTTTCCCTCCCCACTTCCTGCCTGCTCTACTTTACTGATCTCCTTTCTACTATTATTTTGATTAGTATATTATAATATATATATAAGTGGGATTTACTGCAGCACATTAGTACATGGACATATCATAATTTGATAGATTACATTCCCCAGTATTCCCTCAAGCCCTCCCCTTCTCTCTCCCTCTCAACTGCCTTTCTATTCTCTGTTGGTCTCCATTGTTCTAATAGTGTTTTTAGAAGACAGAGTAAAATAATGGAGTGGAAGCAATACCCCAAAGATAATGGATGAAAATTGAAGATAAATAAAATGAAATACACATCTAGACATGCTGTATCAAAAAAGCAAAATAAACAGAAATTTTTAAAGTGATCAGAGATAAATGAACAGCAGTTAGACTGACAGCACATAGGTAGTGTAAATTCAGCCATTAGGAATGTCAGTATATAATGGGATAATACCAAAAGGACTTAAAATAAGCATATTACAGTGCCAGCTCAATTCACAACAGCTAAACTATGGAAGCAACCTAGATGCCCTTCTAGGGCATCTCATATGAAGAATAATTACATTAAGAAAGCATAGAAACATAGAATATGTACATCATCTACAGATGAATGGATTAAAAAACTGTGATACACACACATGGAATACTCCTCAGCCTTAAAGAAGAATGAAATTATGGCATTTGTCAGTAAATGGATGGAGCTGGAGAATATCAACCTAAGCGAAATAAGCCAGTCTCCAAAAAATAGAAACCAAATATCTCTGATATATGGATGCTAATTTTTCCAGAGCCATCCATGGGTCATGTGTGGACTACACCAGCATTGTAGCCTCTCATAGGAACACCTGGTATTTAGGAACTTCCCCTGGCAATCCCACAGGATAAGATTGCCCAAATATATGTGAATTTCTATTCAGCTCTGCCTGGTCCCACACAGCACCAGAGGTGGGGTGACCTGCTGCAGCCACACAGCCTCTCAGAGATGGGTGTGACCTGCCAAGATGCCAATCAACCTGCACTCCACCCCTGAAACCTTATCCATGCCTTTGATGTACCCCCTTAAATAAACCACGGGAGCCATTTTCTAATTGTCCAGCTCCAGCTCCTGTATGGGCTGGATCTATCAGGTGCTCTGCTTCAAAACTCTCTTTGACTCTGTGTCTTTTGTTCTTCACTGATTCTGACTTATTTTCTCCAGTGGCTTATACCCTCTCCTTGGCAGGAAAAAGGACCCCCTGGCGAGGTGCTGGCAGCCTCCCCATACTAATTCATAATGTTGGGGAGCCTAGGGAAGAATAGTTATTTTAGAGTAACTATTTAGAGCAGAGGGGAGTGAAGGGAGGGGAGAGGGTTAGGGTTAGGAAAGACAGGAGAATGAATCAGACATTATCATCCTGTATGCATATGTAACTGTACAACTGGTGGGACTGTACATCATGTACCACCAGAAGAATGAGAAATTACACTCCGTTACATATAATGTATCAAACTGCATTCTACTGTCATGTATAACTAATTAAAACAAATTTAAAAAATTAAAGCACACACACAAAACAAACAAACAAATGCTAAGGGAAATTCTAAAGTTAGAATCCCAGAATTCTGTAACTCAGTTATAAGTTACCACAAAAAAAATTACAGTAAAATTAAAGTTATTTTCAAAGACTGAGAATTTACCACTCACAGACTGTAGATGAAATAACAAAGGAAAGAAGAAGGAAATGGAATTCTTAAAGTAGATGCAAGAAGCAGCTGTGGGCAAAGCAGAGAAAAGAAAATGCCCAAGTGCATCTGGCATGTTATTTCATAAAACTTGTATCTTATTTTTACATATTTACATTATTTAAATTAAGAAAAGTTTTAAACGAGTACTTGTGGGCAAAAAAACTGACATGTTCAAAAACTCCTAAAGAAGCACTGACTAAATAGACAAGTGGGACCAAATGAGAGGGTTTAAAACCAGCATAGATTTAAGTTATTTAAAAAACAGTATCAGAGTATATCAAGGGAATAAATCATGTTAAAGGCTCATAAGTCCTTATATTGCTTGGGAAGTAGATACATTTACCTTAATTTTTAACTCAGTATGAAACAATTACTAAAAGAATAGAAATCAAAAGTATAATTTCTGAAGCAATGGAGGGAGAAGAATGTGATAACTTAATCCAATAAAAGGCAAGAAAGGAAAGAAAACAATAAAGGAAAAAGGCTCTTTAACCCAGCACAGTGGTGCATGCCTATAGTCCCAGCTCCTTGGAAGACTGAGGTGGAAGGATCATTTGAGCTCAGGAATTTGAGTACAGCCTGGACAACAGATGCAAGACTGCGGGGAGTGGGGCATGCTAAACAGGAAGCACCAAGGATTTTAGAAGTAAGCACAAATATGGCAATAAATACAATAAATGAACACTGATTATACTTGCCAATTAAAGAAACAAGATTGTCTAATTACTTAAAGGAATGAAATATAGTTATATGCTGGACACAACTACAACATAATTACATGCTTAAAAGTAAGGGGATGTCCAATTTATAGGACATTCAATGGAGCGAGGAACATATTATTAGATGACACCACACAGGCTCAATTAGCAAAATCCAGATTCTGACAAATACTTCAAGACCTACATCCTCAGTTCTTCAATGAATACACTGCAAAGGGGAAAAACAACAGAGAATGGGAACCTAGAGGGGAAAAGAGACTTACATAGAAGCTATCAGCCCTACTTGGAATCCCACTAGAACAAAGAAACTAGCTTTAAAAATAAAACAATTGGCAACATTTGAACCTTGATTAGGTTCATCTTAATATGAAAATGTTGTTTTGAAGGAGTAAAACATTATTATGCCTATGCCTAAAAAGGGAACTTCATCTTTTAGAGATACATCTAAAATATTTATGGATAAAATAATGTGCTGTCTAGATTTTGCTTCAAAACAATCCAGGAAAAGGTGGGAAGAATGAGTGAGAGTTTGGGTAAGAATCAATTAGTTGTGAGTTGGTAACATTAAAAAGCTTAGTACTGGGCACATGAAAGTTAATCATACTATTCTTTCTTCTATTGAAATATGCTAGAAATTTTTCATAATAGAATTTTTTGAAAGTATCAAAAAAGATGTACTAGAAAAAGAACACAAGTATGCTAAGGAATTAGACAAAATTAACTATACAAAGAGGATCATTAATGATAAAATAAACAAAATTCAACAAAACATATAACATTCCTGAACTATATTCATCTTAAGCCTCAAATATATAAAGCAAAGTTTATTGTGTGTGTGTGTGTGTGTATGTGTGTGTGTTACTTGGCTTGAACCCAGGGGTGCTCTACTACTAAGCCATAGCCCTGGTCCCTTTTATTTCTGAGATACGATCTCTCTGTGTTGCCTATCCTGGTCTTGAACTTGCAATCTTCCTGCCTCAGCCTGCCAAGTTGCTGGAATTACAGTTGTACACCACCACATCTGGCTGAAATTTATCAAATTTAGCAGGAGCCATAAACAATTCCACAATGATTATGGACAATTTCAAATGTATATTTCTGAAAAATGAATGATCAGGACTGCAGTTGTAGTCAGCACCACATAAAAATAATAAAATAAAGGCACTGTGTCCACCTACAAAACTAAAAATAATTTTTTTAAAAAGAATAAGACTAAAGAATGAAAGAATATTGGAAATGTGGACAATACAATTTAGAAACCTGAGTAATGATTTATACACTTACCTTATATCAACCAATAGACAATGTTTATTCTCTTCAAATAAATGTAGAATATTTAGAAAAAATGACTATGTATACTAGGCCACAAAGGAAATTTTAACAGTATCTAAGAAGTCATACCATCATATATATCATCTAATCACAACACAAGGAAAATGGAAATCAATTACAAAAACACATCCCAGACCACTTAATATTTAGAAGATAAAAACCCTTTCTATGATATGAGCTAGTTGTATGGACATCAAATGACATGCAGGTCACCACTCTTATCTAGGTCCATGTGTGAATATGTTCAGCCATAAATGCACATATTAGGAAATAACAGAGTTAAGAAAAAAGGACAAACTAACCTCCCAAAATGGAGGAAAAATAAAGGTAAGAACAAAAATTAGTGAAAAAGAAAATTAAGAAACAACAGAGAGAATCCACAAACCAAAGCCTGGTTTTTTCAGAATAGACCACACTGCTGACAGGCTGAATGAGAAAGAGAAAGCAGGTACATACTACTATAGAAAAAAAACAAAAATGCAGAATGTAAAGTCATAATTACCCTAATTTTTCTTCTAACATTAAATGAAAACACTGAACACCTCACCACTGCTTAGTAAGACCTCAAATTCCAGTTCAGCTGATAACCGCAAATAGCAACCTCAGCACGAACCTCTGCAGTCCTCTGCAGTGCAGCCAGCAGGTGAAATCCACAGAAATAAAGACCCAAGCCACATCATGGCCCCTTTCTGGTATAAAAGGGAAGGGAACTGGCCTCTTAGGGGGAGAAAAATTGGCACGTGGGCCTATGGCGTGTGATTACCCAGCCTGAGGTCAACAGACTCCGCAGTTAGGAGATATAGGTTAAAGCTTTTCAGGTATTTTTACTCATATTATAAGGGTTTAATCTGGTCATCTCATGCTAGTTAGGAACATGGGAGAATTGCAGACTCTGGGACAGGAGTCCCCTGTGTTTCTCCTTTGCTAGCAAAGAAATAACATTTCTTTTTCTTCTTTCTCAAACAAAACAAAACAAAAACACACACACAAAAAAATTCTTAAATAAACTAAGTTTGGAGCAATCTTTCTGTGACAAAATGTTTTTGGTAAAGAGATTGGAAACTATTCTACTTGGTGCTTAGTGAAAATATTTTGAATTAGTGTATATACCAGAAGTTATCAATCAAATAAATAATTTTTCAATATTGTTTAAAATCAAGAAAGAAAAGAAAAAGAAAAAATGACCTTGAAATGAAAGCTTATCACATTATTACAAAAATAATCCTGGGGAGCAGGGGAACAGCTCAGTGGTAGAACGCGTGCTTAGCATGCAGGAAGTCCTGGGTTCAACCCCCCCCCCCCATTTCCCTCTACATCCTACTAACCAGAAAAATAATAATAGTAATAATCCTACTCTAAAACTTAGGGGGCTGATTGGCTTCTGCTCACATATGAAAACTTTTTCTAGTACTCGTATTCCAAGAAGCCATGCTTATTTTTAAAGCCAGGCTTCAGTCACAGAGCACCCTACACACCTTCTTCAGAAATGCTGATGGCTTTTGAAGCTGCTGGTTTTTTGTATTCAGGGCCAGAAGACGATTCAACATGATCCATCAATCCAACCTATAGGAAAAAACATACAACAAAACAACTCAGTTTTATACTTTGATCATTTCAAAGTATTATACATAATTTTGTGTATGGTTTAAACATCTGCATTGATGAGATAAACGGGAAAAAAAGGGATTAAATCCAATATGAGCTACATGACAGAAATAACAAGGAAGAAACTATTTGTGGCTTAAGAGGCTGAGAAAAATAGCTTCACATAATTTCAGAATGGGAGAAACTGTAACTACCACCTAGACAAAATCTTTCATTTTATAGACGAGGGAACAGGCCCTGAGAGATTCAGCAATTTTTTTAGTGACAGAACATGATTTCAACCCAGGTCTTCAAAGCTCCTTGACCACAGTATCCCTCTGCCTCTTCTAGGTCTATGAGATATTTTCTTTAGGAAAGTCAAAGTGTTTGTATTTATGTACACATTTTAATAATAGGGCAATCACATTTTAAACACTATATCAGGTTTATCGTTTGAATTAATGTTATTTCCTTCAATGCAGTCATCCTGGAACACTAATTTACTTTTAAACTTGAGCAAATATTTTTAGAACTATTCCTGTGAAATTGTCTCTAAGCTTCTGCTACAATTATTAATATAACTGTTCTAGTGGCAAATCTTTGGTATATAAATGTGATTTCACCACAGAATCCAAAAACAGCAAAGGTCAGCAAAGGCAAGCACTAAACACACATTTATCAAATGCGACAGACAGCAAAAATCAGTTTTCACCTTCCAACCCTGAAATGCTTGGACTGGAGGAAGCTGTATCCAAATTTCTCGAAACTCTCTGCCTCCCTCAAAGTCAGGAGAGCCAGTAAGTACGTTCTGAAAAGATGGTCAGGGTGATCCTGACACTCAGCTGTTCAGCAGCCTACCACAGCCAGCCCTGTGGCAGCTCTGCCCGGACATGGCCCCTCTGGCTGGCTGTTTCCTGAGGCTTTCACTAGGTGTGGTCCAGCCTGCTGTCAAAGCCTCACTTTGACAAGGCAATGAGCCCACAGGACTCTGCTTCACCTTTTACTCACTCCATGTGCTCTCTCCATCATGATTGGAATGTTGCCCTGATGATTCCAAAACCCCTATTTAGATCCTCAGCTTCAAAAGCATATGTCCAGCTAACTAATCTCATGGCACCTCAAATTTAATATCTCCCCAAGAGAAATCATGGCACCTCCTCCCCCAGCACGGGCACCTGTACTTCCCCTTCCTTAATTTAGAAAATGCCTCCTCCATTCTCCTGGGCTGTAATGTGGGTACCACTGTGGTCTTCTGGTACTTCTGGTACTTCTGGTCTTCGCTGGTTTCTCTGACTTCCTACAGTCTGTCAGGCTCTTCAGTACTGTTCTATCCTGCCCTCTATTCCTACTGCTATAGTTGAGTCATTTTTGAACATTAATTTTTGCTTTGGGTATTCAATGGATCCCAAACACCCATCAGTGAACCTCATATAGAACTAGAGCATAAGAATCATCTATGAAGTTTGTTAATGTTGTCTCTACTATTTAGAATCAGAATCTCAAGGAAATGGTACCAAGATATTTGCATTTCAAACAAGTTTCCAAGATAAGTGACCAGGTCTGAAATCACTGACCCACTTGGTCTCCCTGTCTCCAGTCTTCTCCTTTCCAATTTATCCTCCACACTACTGTATCGGATCATATCACCCTAATGCTTAAAATAATGCTAAACATTTTGCTTGCTGATAGGATAAACTCCCAGTCACCTGGCATGACAAATAATCTTTTCCTTTCTTATTTCCTTTCTTATAATCCCATCCTTTCTCTGATGCCAGATATCCAAAGCCCAATCCCACTGGCCTCTACCACCAAGTAATGCTTATACAGTTCCCCAAACATTCCATGCTATTTGACACCTTTCTGCTCTTGCTCACAGTGATTGTCAACCTTTCCTTATCCAATTTATCAATTCATTACCAGCTCCAAGAATCACCTCAATCAGGTCTCTTTGAGGCCACATCTTCCCTTACTCTGAATTAGCCACAACAACCCAGGCATAGTATGTGTCCTCACTGCACCCAGTTCATACGTACTTACTAGTGTATACTTCTACCTTCATTTAGCCTCTAAGCTACTAGAGAGCAGGTACTTAGCTCAAGGCCTCATGTGTAGCAGATGCTCAATAAATGTGTGTTGAAGAAAGGAGTGAATCGTGGACTTCTGCAAGAGGTGAGCAATGCAGTATCAAAACTAGACTTAGGAGGAAGGAAAGCATTTGGCTTCAGATATGCTTTTCTACTAGCTCAGAAGGCAATTTCAAAAAAAGAGGTTCTCAACCTAGATACCCTCCAACAGATGAATGAATAAAGAAAATGTGGTATATATACACAATGGAATATTACTTAGCCTTAAAGAAGAATGAAATTATGGCATTTACTGGTAAATAGATAGAGCTAGAGATTATCATGCTAAGTGAAATAAGCCAATCCCAGAAAAACAGAGGCCAAATGTTTTCTCTATATTTGGATGTTAATTCAGTGTGGCTACGGAAAACAGATAAGTCCTCTGGATTAGGCAGAGGGGAGTAAAGGGAGGGGTAATGGGGGTAGGAAGGATAGTGGAATGAAATGGACATTATTATCCTGCATACATATATGATTACATGACCAATGTGATTCTACATCTTGTACAACCAGAAGAATGAGAAGTTATACTCCATTTAAGTATGATGTGTCAAAATGCATTCTACTGTCATGTATAACTAATTAGAACAAAATTTTTTAAAAAGAGATTGTTTGAAGTAAGGGGCTCCTAGGACTGCTTTGATATTCAACCTTGGTTTGAATGTGACAGTTCTAAGTTTATGTCAAAAAATTAAAAAACAAACATCATTAATATCATTACTTACTGGTGGTCCTATTTGGCTATTATTGAGCTGGGGCTGGGGCTCAACGGAAGAGCACTTGCCTAGCATGCGTGAGGCACTGGGTTCAATCTTTAGCACCACATAAAAATGAACAAATAAAATAAAGGCATTCTGTCCATTTACAACTACAAAAAACATTAAAAAAAAAAGAACGCTATTATCAAAAAGACAAGGGATAACAATTGCACACTGTGAGTGAGAATGTAAATCAGCACAGCCACTATGGAAAACACTATGGAGGTTTTTCCAAAAGATTAAAAATATTATCCAGCAACTCTCCTATGGATATATATTCCAAGGAAATGAATTCAATATGAAATGAAATCATATATCTGCACTCCCATGTTCACTGCAGCATTGTTCACAATAGTTGAGAAATGGAAACAAAGTGTCCACCAACTAATGAATGGATGAAGAAAATGAAGTACATATACACAATGGAATACTATTCATAAAGATGAATGAAATATTGTCATTATGACAACATGGATGGGAGATCATTTTATTAAGTGATATAAGCCAGGTGCAGAAAGACAAGCATCACATGATCTCACTCATACGTGGAATAGAAAAAGCTGACCTCGGAAGGTGGGAGTGGAATGGTGGTTACCACAGGCTGGGGAGACCAAGACGAGATGGGGAAGGGCTGATCAGTGGGTATTGAGTTATAGACAGATAGGAGCAAGAAGTTCTGATACGCTAGGGTGAGTATAGATAACAATAATGTACTGTAAATTTCAGAAAACTAGCAAAAGGATTTTGAAAGTTTTTACCAGAAACAAATAATAAATGAGATAAATATATGTTCAAACTGATTTAAACATTATGCAAAACATATTTTGAAACATCATGTGGTACCCCATTGATATGTAATATTTTAATGTTTTTAGATATCAGTTGAAAATAAAGAAATATTATAAACCTAATAAACACATTTTTTGGGGGGGGGTACCAAGGATTGAACCCAGGGGTACTTAAAACACTGAGTCACATCCCTAGCCCCATTTCATATTTTATTTAGAGACAGGTTCTCACTGAGTTGTTTAGCACCTTGCTTTTGCTGAGGCTGGCTTTGAATTCATGATCCTCCTGCCTCAGCCTCCTGAGCTGCAGAGATTACAGACTTGTACCACCATGCCTGGCTAATAAATACATTTTTTTATAATTTTTAATTTGTTTTAATTAGTTACACATGACAGTACAATGATATTGACATATCATACATTTGAATCAGATGGGATATAATTTCTCATTTTTCTGATTGTACAGGTTGCAGAATCACATTGGTCATGCAGTCATGTATATCCACACAGCAACAATAATGTCTATTTTATTCTGCTGTCCTTCCTTCCCCTCTTCCCCTTAAATACATTTTTTAAAAAAATGTCAATTTGCTACCAACCTGGAATATTTGTTAGGTAAGTCAAAGATACCCTGTAGACTAGTGTGCATTTCTCAATATCAGACCTAAACACATTTAACATTTTTATTAGTTGTTTTTTAATCCTTATCATATAAATTTTTCATCCTTTAAACAAAAAGGTCAGAGCCAGACAAAGTGATGCACCTATAGTCCCAGCTACTTTGGAGACTGAGGCTCCAGTCTGGGCAACATAGCAAGACCCTGTCTCGAACCAAAGAAAGGGGATAGAAGCTTGTGTAAACTAACTATTTTTAAGACGTTCTTATTATTTTACCTATCATTCTATATAATCATAAATGTATTTACTAAGAATATTTTTTAAAGATATAGAGAACTTGTAAGAAACTGATTACCAGTTTCTCACAAAAGAAAGAAAAATTTCAAATAGAAGGACAATAATATTTGTAAAGTTATAAAAATTGTTCAATGGGGGCTGGGGTTGTGGCTCAGTTGGTAGAATACTCGCCTAGCATGCGTGAGGCACTGGGTTCATTCCTCAGCACCACATAAAAATAAAAAAATAAAGACACTGTGTCCACCTAAAACTAAAAAATAAATATTTTTTAAAAAGCGTTCAGAAGAAAATGATACTTGACTACAGAAGGGTCTCTTTGAAATCATATTCTGGTTTCGTAACTCATATATTTCTTTGCCTGGTAGGAAGCATGGGCTCACTTCTTAAAAGTTTATGGCAGTGATCTCCTATTAAGGGTGATTTTGGCCCCCAGGGAACATGTGGCAATTTTTTTTTTTGTTTGTTTGTTTGGTTTGGTTTGGTACCAGGGATTGAATCCAGGGGTACTTAGCCACTGAGTCACATCCCAAGCCCTTTTATTTTGAGACAGGGTCTCTCTAAGATGCCTAGTCCCTCGCTAAATTGATGAGGCTGGCTTTGAGCTTGTGATTCTCCTGCCTCAGCCTCCTGAGCAGATGGAATTACAGGTGTTTGCCACCACACCCAGCTGCAAAACATTTGGTGGGGGAGGGGGGTACCCGGAATTGAACTCCGGGGCACTCGAGCACTGAGCCACATCCCCAGTCCTATTTTGTGATTTATTACAGACAGAATCTTGCTGAGTTGCTTAGTGCCTCACTGTTACTGAGGCTGGCTTTGAATTCAGAGCTGCTGGGATTATATGTGTGTGCCACTCGGCTCGAAAGCAATTTTGATTGTTATAACTGGGGAAAGTGCTACTGGCAGCAAGTGAGTAAAGACCAGGGATGCTGCCAAATACCCTACAGCTCAGTCATGAGGACTTGCCAAGCCTAACAAAGGTTCTAGATTTGATATCCGTCTCTGAAAAAACAAACACCCCCTCTTCCCCAAATCCCCAAATTGACCCAAATATCAGTAATTCTGAAATTCAGAAAATCTAGCTTAAAGAAACCAAATTTCCCATTATTTCAAAAAGTCCAGTGTTTTAAAATTACAAATTTAATAACTCAGTTACTGATTAAAAATAACAATAATTTTAAAAAACTAAGGATAAACTACCTTTTCATGATGTAAACTTAGCATTTCAGGTCTGGGGAAATCCTGCTCTATGTTGTCGGCAATGTTCTGAATTGCTAACAGCTGTTCATCAATTTTCTGAAGCTTAGTGGTGAGAAACTCAAGTCGGCAAGCTGCAGGGCTTGGCACACGGCGAACTGCAGTATGGTGAGCTGCAGGGACATCCTGCAGCACTTTCCACAGCAGATAATTTTCTTCAGAGTCTGACTTTGTGCTCTGTTCTTGGAACTGGAATCTTGGTCTTGGTAGATCTAAATATTAATTACAGTAAAATCAGAATTGATTGTAATTAAGGAAGAGGCAGATAATGATAAATCTCATTTTTTTGGATGATCTTACTACTTTAAGGCAACATAACATTATTTTCCAAATAAGTTTTAATTTAAATATATGTAGGGGATTGGGGATGTAGCTCAGTGGTACAGCACTTGCTTAGCACGCACAAGGCCCCTTGGATTCAATCCCCAGCACTGAAAAAAAATTTAATATACTTATAAATTGTATTTCTTTTGCGATTTGTCTAATGTGAAATAAGGACCCTTAAGAATGTTAGTACAGGTTTAAAGAGGAAGTTTGTTTCTTCACTTGGCTGAAGTATTCAAATCCTCACACTATTCCCAGTTATTGACATATTATTTGAAAAAACACTTTGTGGAAAGTCCAAGAATATAAGCTCTAGGTAAAGTTTTAGTGGGACACTCAGGCAAAAATATTGATCTATTTTTGACATGCTGCAAAACACTAAAAATTTTCTCATGGATATAATCTGTAGCCCATGGATAAAATTGGTGTAAAAAACAGGAGGAAAAAACCCTTAATTTGGCATTCTAGAATTTATGACATACTTGGTTTATTAATGCCATGTACTTTCTCCTTTCTAAAATAAAATCTATGGCTTTAAGAAAACTGAGCAAAAAAAAAAAAAGAATGTTAGTACCACAAGTCCTACATATGAGGCAGTCTGAATGTTATTTTTATCCCCTATTACAGATAATTCATCAAAAAAGAAACTTTAACATTTTTATGACTTTTTGAAACCAATGAAAACCAAAATCATCACATACTAGGTCCAATGATGGCTATTGCTAACTTTATGTGGGATCTCAGATAAACACTAAACCTCCACAGACCAGTATCAAAGCCAATGACTGTCTCTACCAATTGATTCCAGACCAAATTTGAGATACCTTCTTTTTTAAAATGAACTCTCCTTCTGGCATCTCAGTCTCCCCTCCCTGTGTTACTCATCCTGTTTAGGCCTTCCTTTATCCACAGGCACCTTCAGGGTGCCAGCCTCAGCACAGATCTCTCCTCACTCTTCTCACCATATCTGAGCGATGTCACACAAATGACTCCTAAAGGCCATGTGGTACTCCCTCTGAGGTCCAGATCCTTATAACCCGAACTCCAGCTGCATAGTAAACTGAACTCATTGTTTCCTGCCAATTTGAACCCTCTTCCCTGTTTCTCAACTCAATGAACAGCACTACCATTTACCCTGTTTCCCAAGTCACCAGTCTAAGAGTCACTCAAGGTTCTTGTCTCTCCTTCAGAGCCAAGTGATACCAAGGATTGATTCCACCTCCTGAATACCTCCAATCCTACTACCACTGATCAACTCGATATATTTATTTTTCTTCCCAGTACCTTTCTGTGTTTCTCCAGTGCCTTCACTTCAAAGGCCCAAATACCTCAATATAACAGACAATGGCACTCATTTCTTGTTATTTTTTCCCCCTTTCTTGTTTTGGTACTGGGAATTGAACACAGGGTGCTCTACCATTATATCCCTAACACTTTTTAGTTTTTACTTTGGGACAAGGTCTCACTATGTTGCCCAGGTGGGACTTGAACTTTCAATCCTCCTGCCTTAGTCTCCCAGATTCTCTGGGATTACAGGCATGTACCACCTGCCCAATTTCTTGCTATTTCTTTAAACAAACAAAAACCACTCTGTTTGACTCCAAGCATACTGAACTTCACTTGTCTCAAACTCGGCAGGCTCCATCAAACTTCTGAATCATTGCACAGTCCATTTTCTCAGTCTGAATGCTCTTTTTCTCTCTAAATCCTACTCTCCTTCATTCCACTTTAGTGTCTCTCCCGTAAATAGCTCCAAACCTCCCCTGAAATAGATGAGATGCTGTATTACCCAAGGTCTCATCCATGCCACTGTCACAGCCCTTTCCAAGCTGTATCATAATCAACCCCTTATTTACCTGTCTTTCTTCCCCCTATAGGTATGCTCACAGGTTAAAGGTAGTCCTTTCTTCTTTAGTCCTGGTACCTGGTTCCTAACTTAGTGTTTGCAGAATGAAGAACAGGTAAAGTGAATTATGATGCCTGACTCACATTTTTTCTTTGAAAAAAATGTGAATTCGTAAACAAAAATGATTGTTATATTTCAGTCCCAATCTAAGGTGAACCTTCTGTGAGAAGACAATGGTAAATGCAACATTGGCCTTGGCAGTTTCCCTACCTCTTTCAGTTTGACTTTCACAATCTTTTACCATCTGTCTAACCTCCATGTTTCTCAACAGCCTGAAACACATCCCCCTTAACACTTAACAGGAAAGATCTGGTGCACACAAACTTTAAATGGTAAAGACAGCAAAAGAGATGAACATGCTTAAAATCCAGACTTCCTTTTTCTGCTCTACTTCACTAACAGAAAATCACACAGGAGGGTTAAAACTGAGTTTCACTGACCTGAAATGTTCTTCCTTGGGTCAGAAAAACTCTGCCTGCTGTTACTGATGCTATCTTTCATGGGAAAAGGATTCTAAAATAGGAAGCTACTGTAATTCACAATAGTGAGCAGTTCTCCCTAAAACAAGAACTGTTTACTCTTAATACCTAGAGACCCTATTCTTCCCTTCTCTGATCCTTCTCCTGTCAAGCAAATTCCACTCAACTCTAATGTGCAATTATATTCTGAGTCTTTACAGTATATTACTATAAATATCATGATGGAATTAAGTTTCAAAATATAAAGCTTTTCCTTTTAAATTAGCATTTTTAAGTTCTTCTCTTCAAGAGTAGATAGAACTAATGTATCTTTGCAAATAGACATTCTCCTTAAGAAAGGAATCTCCAAATGGTTGATTGCAGACCAGATCTTTCTGATAAAGAAAATTAACCTGAAGTTTGTAGTCTTTAAAATGCTGGCCTTAGCTACTCAGGAGTCTCAGGGAGATGGATCTGCTTCCAGTTTTCCCGGATTTCAGAAATTAAGAAAATGAAGGGAGACTAAGGGTACCTAAGCAGCCATGACACTTGGACAACCCTATGAGATTGCAATTGTGTCCCACAGAGAAACAAATAAAGATCAGATAAAGTTAGTAAATTTGCAAAACATCTCCAAGCTATTTAGGAATAAAGCTGGGATTGAAACCTAGGTCTGTTCTAATTGAATCCAAAAGCCAAGCTCCTTTCACTCCAGTTTCTATATCCTTCACCAGCCTGAAAGACTATTAGCTTCTTAAATCCTACTCCCATCACTTGTACATACTACTACCCAAGACAGAACAGAGAGAGGGCAAAGGCTTCAAAATCTGATATGTTGGCACCTGTTTGTTTATGCAGCTATAATGCACATCCCCAAACATCCTAAAGTGATGCCCAAACATCCTAAAGTGATGCACAAACATCCTAAAGTGATGTGCCCCTCCTCCCATCCCTTTCTTGCTCCTTATACCTCTTGAGTGCCCACTGTTGACAGACAATGAACCTGCATCTTGCAACCACAAAGCAGGGTCCAGAATTCCAACAGCCGTGGAACCTAGAAAAGACATCAGCTCTGTTGTAGAAAGTCTGATTGCCAATTGGATTAATCTAACCATTCACAGGAAATAATAACTGTATACAGTAGAGAAATATTCTTCTAAATATTATAAAAATTTGCCACATATAACCTGATTTATATAAAACTAAATATTTTACTGGTTAAGTAATGTTGGCTACCATGCCTATGTATTACCTCTATACTGCTGCAGAATTTCCCAACTTTTTAAACATAAGAATTCATTTTAAGCATCAAAGTACTCAAGAACTCCCACAGGATATTTATATTTTAGCCTCCTTAACTGAGAAGATATATGTACAAGTACATCTATAGTCTCCTTGTAAAATATGGTGCTAGCTTAATGGCTAAGCTCATTCATCTACCTGCCCTCTCCACTTAACAAAGGACAAATCTCTTTCATGTTTCTTTTGCAATTATCAAGTATTAGTGCTAGTTTCTATCATAACAGGAATTTGTGAGGGAGAGTCATGCTATACATCTTCTGTCATTCACCTTGGTCTTGCTGTCTTTCTGATGGAGTCACTGAGGAGATCCCAGGTTCCTTCACTTCTGTAAAGTCTGCTCTCCAGGTTTTTTCATCTAGACAGGCTGGAGTCACTCTTGGAGGCTCAGAAAATAAATCCACAGGAGAACTGGCAGCATCTATCAAGAATATGAAGGACGTACAAAGACTGATTCTGAACTTCTAAAGAAGGTGAATTAAAAGATTTAAGAGATAATTTCTGAATGTGAATATAAACATCTAAAACTGCAGTGGGCTTTCAGAAAGGGAGCTATGAGATTTGAGTAGGAATAACAATGCTATGTTATGAAATTTTTCAAAATGTATTTAAAGTAGGAAAAAGTTATTACCTTGACTTTTACAGTTGTGTGGGGGAAAAGTACTAGTAACTGAAGCTGCCAGATAATGTAACTCTGCAGATGATGGGACCTCCAGATGATCACTTTGCTGTTTGATAACATTCTCATTTGAAGGCTCTGCTCTGACAGGTAATTCCTGTAGATCATCAGCTTCAATGTCAACCACATCTATATAAGTGTGTCCAACCTGAGTTAAAGCACATAAAAATCATTCTTATTACCTTGGATAGCCACTCTATCTCCCACCCCCAAAAAGCTAAATTCTTCATTATTATTACTAAAAAGCAAGAAGAGCTTTTATGTGCCTAATCTTAGGGAAGCTGCAGGAAATAAGTCTCATTGGTTTTAGTTTACAATATTCCAGGGCATAATACTTAAATTGATTTTTGATCTTTCCTACAAAGCTACACAGATGAGATTTTTAGCTTCATTTCACCCATTCAATTGTATAATATCTAGAAAAAACATAATAAATTTCAGTACAATATTAAAACTTCTGAATATATAATTTATTACCATATCAGGTGCTGAAGGAGACAAAGATTTCTCTGATATTTTAGTAGGAAGTTCGACATTGAGATGTACATCTGGAACCAACAGCTGAGGAACAGTTACAGGTTCATATTCTGAAAATTAAGAAAAATTGGGAATGTAAAAATATCTTTAACTTGACCTAAATCATTAATTTTGTAAAAACTAGTAAACAACAAACAACATAAATGCGTATGTCCTAAAAATCTAAGTAGAAGCTTCATGGGTATAAACAAATTAAATTCTATCATATTCTATGGTCAATTTACTCTAGAGTAATCCGTAATTTAATAAAGATAAGTATTGCCAGGCATGGTAGCACACGCATGTAGTCCCAGCCTCAGCAATGGCGAGGCACTAAACAACTCAGTGAGACCCGTCTCTAAATAAAATAGGGCTGAGGATATGGCTCGGGTTGAGTTCCCCTGAGTTCAATCCCCAATATAAAAAAAAAAAAAATTAAGTATTGCTTTTCTCATAATGTGATAAGAACAACAAAGTATCTAAATTATGTCATGAAAATGCTATAATTTCCTATTTCTACTTCAGATATATTAACTCACATTCATCTACTTTATTTAAGAGAACTTCGATAAAGCCAAATTTTAAGAAATAAACCTATAGCTAAATTTGTAAAAATTTTTGTTTCTTGATATTTAGGTCTTTATTTTATTACTAGTTTTATTTATGTGAGAAATAAAGTCTAGTGGTCCATTTTCAGAATATAGTACTTACCTTAAATGTAAAATTAGGATGTAAGAATGGCAGCAGGAGGGGAAATGGAGCTGAATGGAAAGTTACAAGCAGTTAACTCACACAATAGCACCACAGCCTATGGATGTGGCAGATCTAAAGTCCATGAACCTCAACAGCTCCTTCTTCCTGGAGGGCAACAGCAGCAGGAGCTCAGGGAGTGTGAAAAATCCCCAGCTAAGTGCGTACTGAGTACACACAGGAGCTTGGGACTTACAAGAAACCTTCAATGAGGTTGAGTACAAAGGGAAACTCAGTTATAGAAACCTAATGAAACAGAGGAATAAAAATTCTAGGCCTAGGAACATTCATAAAATGGAAAGATCCCATATGTACAAGTCTTCTTTCCCTTAAGAACTTTTTCCTGAGGAACTCAAGGGCTCTCACATTCTTTAAATATCTGGACTGACTCTCATCTGATTCAAAAGCACACTCTGGTCTAATACAGATGTTCCACATGCTCCTTTACTAAAGTAATTACAGCCATGCTATTCCTCCCAAGTTTCTGTCATTTTCTGAGCTCATAATTTTTCAGGTGAATTCTCCTTTGGTCCTGTGTATCTGAAGTAAGATATTTTGTTCTGATTAGTTTTGTTTTGTCTAACTGGAGGGTTTTTTGTTTGTGTTTGTTTTATTTTTGTTTTCATGCTGTTTTTATTCAGAAGCCGACTATCCAAAGGTCAACTCTCAAATGCACTTAAAAATGAAAAAGGTCTTCTTCTTTGGAGAGTCCTAACAAGGAAAATGAACTGGTAATGGTAGGAGTAAATCTATCTCATGGAGGATGAGTGGTCACCTAAACCTCGGATTTTAGCATCCATCACAGCTGCCAGACTCTATTCCCAATTGTACAGACCCATCATGTCTGAGTTATACTGTAAAAAAACTCTGGGACAGGCTGTTTAAATTTCTAAAGGGTCAATTTACATTGGCAAGAGTAAAGATGTCTTTAAAATTTCTAACCTACAAGTTTTTCTAGTTGACCAATCAATCAAGAAAACGTTAATTTCTATAAAATGTTTAAAGTGCAATGTCCACTACATGTAAGAATTTTTCTTTGGTAAGAATAACTGACTTAAAGTGTTAACTAGACTTCTCTGATATGTTGGTTTTCATGGGTAACCTAAGTTAAAAATGGGTAATGAGAGTTAACATGAATGGGATAAACATTGATAAATGTGTTTGTTAGAAGTTTCTGCAAAGTTAAAATACTAAAACATCAACTGCTAAATATAAACTTAAATGTGGCTTCTTAAACGCCATAGGTAAAATATATACGGGTCTACTAAACGTGTTCTTAAAAGTTAGTAAATGGAAAAGTAATTTTTTAAAATATATATATTTTTAGTTGTTGATGGTCTTTTATTTTATTTATTTATACACAGTGCCCACAGTGGAACCCAGTGCCTCACACATGCTAGCAGCCACAACCTCAACCCCCTGGAAAAGCAATTTTAAGGTTGCTTTACTTCTGGGCCTAAACTAAAAGCAAAGTTACTAAAAATTAAAATTCTAAAAGGTACAATTCTATACATAAGGAGTATGAAAAATTTCAAATGAGCTTTGATGAAAGGACTGTAAAAATCATTAAGTATTTCATCTTATTACAAAGAAGTAATTTGTCAAAATTCAGGAATTTCATAAGGATTGTTTCAAAACAAATTTAAAAAAGAGTGAACAACGGGAAGAAGGGAAATATAAAAAGTTTTAAAAATGAAAATGTGTGTTTCTAGATGAGAAAGTATTGTAGGGTAAAATAATATTCTTGTACTAAAGCTAAACATGAAAGAGAAGACAAAACTAAGAAAGTGAAAAAAATTATAGATCGTCTAAGTTTTTAGTTGTCAATGGACGTTTATTTTATGTATTGATATGTGGTGCTGACAATGGAACCCAGTGCATCACACATGCTAGGCAAGTGCTCTGCCACTGAGCCACAACCCCAGCCCTACCTTTATTTTATTTATTTATTTTTATGTGGTGCTGAGGATCAAACCCAGTGCCTCACATGTGCCAGGCAAGCACTCTGCCACTGAGCTGTAAACACAGAACCAACACAGCCATCATTTAAGGGATTTAAAAAAAATTTTTTTTATTTTTATTTTTTTAGTTGTAGTTGGATACAATGTCTTTAATTAATTAATTTGTTTTTATATGGTGCTGAGGATCGAACCCAAGGCCTAGCCCGTGCTAGGCAAGCACTCTACTGCTGAGCCACAACCCCAGCACCATTTAAGGGATTTTTTTCGAAGGTCAAATTTTAATTCACTGATATGAAAAAAAGTCTAAAACACTGATCTGCTGTTATCTATCAAGATAATTTCCTGTGTCTTACTTAGGGAAACTAAGTCTTAAAGGAATTAGAATTTTTACCTATTTTCAAGAACTCAAAAAGATAATCACCAAAAAAAACAAATAACCCAATCAACAAATGGGCCAAGGACCTGAATAGACCCTTCACAGAAGAGGATATACAAACAATCAACAAATATTATGAAAAAAATGCTCATCATTGCTAGCAATTATAGAAATGAAAATCAAAACTACTCTTGAGATTTCATCTCACTCCAGCCAGAATGGCAGCTATTAGGACAACAAACAACAATAAGTACTGGTGAGGATGTGGGGAAAAGGTACACTCATACACTGCTGGTGGGACTGTAAATTGGTGCAGCCAATATGGAAAGCAGTATGGAGATTTCTTGGAAAATTGGGAATGGAACCACCATTTGACCCAGCTATCTGTCTCCTCAGTCTATACCCAAAGGATTTAAAAACAGCATACTACAGGGACACAGCCATATCAATGTTTATAGCAGCACAATTCACAATAGCTAAGTTGTGGAACCAACCTAGATGCCCTTCGATAGATGAATGGATTTTTTTTAAAGTGGCATATATACACAATGGAATATTACTCAGCAATAAAAGAGAATGAAATCATGGTATTTGCAGGCAAATGGATGGAGTTGGAGAAGATAATGCTAAGTGAAGTTAGCCAATCCCAAAAAATCAAATGACAAATGCTTTCTCTGATATAAGGAGGCTGATTCATAGTGGGGTAAGGACGGGGAGCATGGGAGGAATAGACAAACTCTAGATAGGGCAGAGGGGTGGGAGGCGAAGGGAGGGAGCATGAGGTAAAAATGATGGTTGGAATGTGATGGTCATCATTATCCAAAATACATGTATGAAGACACGAATTGGTATGAATATACTTTGTATACAAACCAGACATATGAAAAATTGTGCTCTATATGCGTAATAAGAATTATAATAAAAAAGAATTGTAATGCATTCTGCTGTCATATATAAATAAAAAAATTAATTAAAAAAACAACAAAAAAGAAAATAGCAAATTTAACTGGGGATTTGTTTATAACACTTAATGTTTTATAACTGGATAAAGATAACTTGTTATCAATAAGTTTTATATACATTTTATGACATGCTTTATACTAGAATGGAAATTTAATGTATTTTTGAAAGATAATAAAGAGAGCCTAATTTGTTTAAAGTTCCACAATGTAGAACATGAAAATTTTTTCTTTTCCACAAAAAGAAAGGAGCACTCTTAGCTTGTTTGATTCATTTTTTTAAATATTTTTTTTTAGTTGTTGATGAACTTTTTTTCAAAATTTTTATTTATTTATATGTGGTGCTGACAATCAAACCCAGTGCCTCACGCATGCTAGGCAAGCGCGCTACCGCTAAGCTACTACCCCAGCCCTTGATTCATGTTTTATATGTACTGTTGTATTGTGTTAATTGATATTCATTTAGACATGGGAAATAATATATGAAAACTTTGTAAATTATATTTAAGAAAGAGGTAAAGATCAACTTTAGAAATAAAATAGATTGCCTAGATTTGTCAAGAGCCCCCCTACCTGATTTAAGACTCTGGCTCTCACCTTATTCCGTGTTAGGATGGCTCCAAAATTAGGCCAGAATTAAGCTTATTTAAAGTTATATTCAAAGGATATATTTTTGTTATAAAGGTACTACAATCTCAAAAATAAACAGGACAGAAAATAAAATTTAAAACTAAGTAAAGAACTGGATAAATTGTAAAAGGAATTTAAAGGCTGTAAAAGAGTTTTAAAAGAGTAGAATTTGTCAAGGATCTCATATGAATGAACTCATATATATGTGGGGTCTTTGTGAGGCAAAATAGATATCAAATATACATTTGTGGTATTATAGAGATAATGTTTCTTGGTTCAAAGCTATTATACAAACTGAATATGTTTTGCTCTAGTTCATTTTGTATTTTCTTTGTATACCTTTGTAACTGCTGCCTGTTAGTGTTTTGTAGAAGTACTTCTTCTAATAGAACAAT